TAATGCCGGGTCCAAAGACTTCAACGGGCCGACGTTTAGTTTCGTCCGCTCCTAATATAAGGAGCATCTCCAGCAGGAGATTTTAAGCAAAACGTCGGCACAGTTTCATATGCCTCGGGCATTTTTAAATCATTTCTCGGCGAAAAACTGGATGGAGCGCTCCTTATATTAGGAGCGGACGAGACCGTCTCGTCGGACACGTGGCGCCATATTAGTGGTGTTTGATATTTTTTTTTTACAATTTTAATTGGAAAATTTTGGGGGGTTAAAAAATTAGTCGCGAAAAACTCGGAAAAAAACCCTTTGCCTTTTTTCTCTCTCGAAGGCGACGAGAGAGGCGATATCGTCGAATCCAGGAGATCGTGCTATCCGGTCGTTTTCGGCGCCTCCGATCCATCTCTTCCGTCATCTGCGTAAGGTAATCCTCATATCCGTTTATTTTTTTGATTTGATGAACTTTTGGGGGAGATTAGGGTTCGTCGATTTGGGGAAAATGTATCGGATCAATCATCGGTTGAAATTAGGGGTTTTTGTGTATCGGCGTGTGCATGTAGATGTTGTTTAACATCGATTACAGTCGAATCATTGGTTTTGTTAAACTGGTTTATCCAATCTAGGGTTTCTCGAATTTTGGGGAAATTTTTGACATGTTTGAAAGTTCAAATTAGGGGTTTTTCTGTATCGGCGGTTGCATATAGATGATGTTTTGACAACGGTACACTCGAATTGTGGGGTTTGACGAAAGTGAAATTTTAAATTTAGGGTTTGTCGATTGATTTTGTTGGTTTAGTTTGTAACGATTCATAAACTAAACGATGATGCAAGCGGATAAAATGGAAAACAGTTTGGTACGTATGATATTCACTACACGAAAACAGTTACTTACCGACTACATTTTGCGACTCATTATGCAGTCGTTAAAATTACCGACTAATGTACGACTACTTGACGACTACCCTGCGACTAAACGACTTTAGTCGCCAATTCGTCGTCCATTAGCGACCACAAAATGTCGTCGTATAATAGTCGCTAATCGGCGACTAATGTACGACTACGTTGTTGTCGGTAAACTGTTGTCGTAAAATAGTCGTAATTTGGCGACTAAAAAGCGACTGTTGCGGCGAATCGCAAAAAATTAAACACGTGGTTAACGTTTTGTGGTTGGTGTATCTACTTTTAACGACTACGTGTTGTAGTCGTAAAATGGACGCAATACAGTCGCAAATTAGTCGGTAAATTATCTATATATACAGCTTACCGATTCTCGGCTGAATCACAATTGTGTCTTGGCTGAATCATAATTATTTTTTGGCTGAATCACAATTACGAGTTTTTTTTATAAAATGTCAAGAAATTCTAATTATAGAGAATGGATGTATAAGAAGATTGATGAAAAGACGGGGAATTCTTCGGCTGAATTTGTAGAAGGAATGGAGCAATTCATGAATTTTGCAAACAATCAGCCTCTCACACAAAACAATGGTGGCAAGTTTTTCTGTCTTTGTAGTGTTTGCAAAAATTGCAAATTTTTACCGGGAAGAAAAATTTGGAATCATTTGTATAGTAAAGGGTTCATGCCGGATTATTATATTTGGTATAAGCATGGAGAAGAAATTACTGATCTGGTTTATGGAACTAGTTATGTTGATACAACTCATATAAGTGGGAGTGAAGAAGATCAAATGGGTCATATTGCTGAAAATAGTTATATGCATATGGTGAATGATGCATTTCATGATAACTATCATCAAGGTGATAACTATCATCAAGGTGATAACTATCAGAATGTACAAGAACCTGTACATAACCATTCCCAAAAGTTTTACAACCTCTTAGATGCTGGAAAAAAACCTTTATATGATGGTTGTCGGGAAGGCCACTCGCAGTTATCCTTAGCTGCTTGGTTCATGCAAAATAAGGTGGATTTAATATGAGTGAAAAGTGTGTGGATTCGTGGGCTTCTTTGTTTACCGAGTATCTACCTGACGGGAATCATGCAACCAGTTCCAATTACGAGACAGAGAAACTGATGGGAAATTTAGGCCTCCCATTTCATAAAATTGATGTTTGTATTAACAATTGTATGATCTTCTGGAAAGAAGATGAAATGTGGGAGGAATGTAAATTTTGTCAAGCACCAAGGTATAAGCCGAACGAAGGTCGACGACGATCACGAACTAGAATACCATATAGTCGTATGTGGTATCTACCTATTGCTGACAGATTGAAGAGAATGTATCAGAGCAAGAAGACGGCAGCGGCAATGAGATGGCATGCGGAGCACCAAGCAAAGGAAGGAGAAATGTGTCATCCCTCTGATGCTGCGGAGTGGAAATATTTTCAAGATCTACATCCCCAGTTTGCCGAAGAACCTCGTAACGTTTATCTTGGATTATGTACAGATGGGTTCAATCCTTTTGGCATGTCTCACAATCATTCCTTATGGCCTGTGATCTTGACTCCTTACAATTTACCCCCAAGTATGTGCATGAAGACAGAGTACTTATTCCTTACAATATTGAATTCTGGGCCAAATCATCCGCGAGCTAGTCTTGATATCTTCCTCCGCCCACTTATTGAGGAGTTAAAAGAATTATGGTCAGTTGGAGTAGATGCATATGATGTATCCTTGAATCAAAATTTCAAATTAAGAGCTGTGTTGATGTGGACGATAAGCGACTTTCCGGCATATGGTATGTTATCTGGATGGACGACCCACGGTAAATTGTCTTGTCCAATTTGCATGGAAGACACAAAGGCTTTTTATCTGCCAAATGGAAGGAAGACGTGTTGGTTTGATTGTCATAGAAGGTTTCTTCCTCAGGGTCATCCATTAAGGAAGAATATAAAAGACTTTTTGAAGGGTAGACACGCTATCAATGAGTATCCACCAGAGTCTTTGAACGGTGAGCAAGTTTATACCGAGCGGATTAAATCTGTCAAGCCCCCAAAAACATCGGAGTGCGGTGGAAACGGTCATGAAAAAAAGAAGGCTGGATACGGGAAGTGGCATAACTGGCACAAAGAAAGCATATTTTGGGAGTTGCCGTACTGGACGGACCTCAATCTCCGACATAATCTTGATGTGATGCATATAGAGAAGAATTTTTTCGACAACATCATCAATACTCTTATGAGTGTGGCGGGTAGATCAAAAGACACAATCAAGTCAAGATTGGATATAGAACGATTCTGTGATCGAGCTCACTTACACGTTGATGCGAATGGTGAAGCACCTTTTCCTGTATACACATTGGAAGAAGCTGACAGGAAAAAATTATTGGAATGCGTGAAAATGGTACAATTCCCAGACGGTTATGCGGCAGACTTAGCAAGTTGTGCTGATATAGAGAAAGGAAAGTTTTCAGGCATGAAGAGTCATGACTGCCATGTTTTTATGGAGCGGCTACTTCCATTTATCTTTGCAGAACTTCTTGATCGCAATGTCCATCTTGCATTATCAGGTACTTTGTTATAAATCAAATCAGTTTAATTTACAATTACGTATAATTACTATATTATATTAACCACTTGAGTTTGAATATTTTAGGGGTTGGAGCAATCTTCCGTGACTTATGTTCTAGAACTTTGCAAAAAGACCGCGTCAAAATTCTGAAACAAAACATTGTTTTAATCTTGTGCAATTTGGAAAAGATCTTCCCACCCTTGTTTTTTGACGTGATGGAGCACCTCCCTATACATCTCCCCTATGAAGCTGAATTAGGAGGCCCTATGCAGTATAGATGGATGTATCCTTTTGAAAGGTTTTTCAAAAAGTTGAAGGCAAAAGCAAAGAACAAAAGATATGTTGAAGGCAAAAGATCGATTGTTGAATCGTATATCAGTGACGAGATAGCTTATTTCACAGAGCATTACTTTGCTTCAAATATACAAACGAAATCAAGGTAAATTTAAAAATATATTTCAAATATACAAATGTGTTTACTTTGGCTAAATTAAATCAGTTTTCATTAATTTGGTCAGGTTAACAAGATTCGATGAAGGTGAAGCCCCCGTATTTGATGTCCCTGGAGTTCCTGAAATATTTACTCACATAGGTCGTCCAAGTGGTCAAATGCATGAAATATGGCTTTCAGAGAAAGACCATCGGGTCGCACATGCATATGTTTTGCGAAATTGTGAATACTTTCAGCCTTTTGAGAGGTATACATAATTTAGTATTTCTCAGTCGATGTATTAATATAATCTACTACTAGTTTTGTACTGATTATATGTTCATCACGATGTAGTATGTTTGAAGATTATATCTCTACAAAATATCCAGCACTCTCTGAAAAAGAAGTTTCCGCAAAAAGAGCTGACGAGTATCCTGCATGGGTGAAAGACTATATAAGTTTAATTTATTAAAATTCATAGTTATGAATATATATTATTAAAACAATGATAATTTTTTTTATGTCTGCAGGTTACTTACTGGAATGCCACAAATCCTTTTCCTATTTGGGTTCAAGACATAGTACACGGACCTGTGAATAAGGCAAAAACCTGGCCTATCTATTTTACCCGAGGATATTTGTTTCATACGCAGAATCATGGAATGGGACGGAAGACATGTAACTATGGGGTCTGTGTCAAAGGAGAAAATTATACGGATGCATCAGATGATGCTGATTTCTACGGGACTTTAACTGATATTATACAACTGGAGTATGAGGGAATGGTAAATTTGAAGATCACACTTTTTAAGTGTAACTGGTATGACCCTGTTATTGGTAGAGGCACTCGAAGGAGCAATGGCGGCATCGTTGATGTTCTTTCATCAAGAAGATATAACAAATATGAGCCATTTATTCTGGGTATATATGTATATGTTTATATAACTAAATATTTACATACATATATTATATATAGTTATTGACATTTGTATATGTTGATATTTCACAGCTTCTCAAGCGGACCAAGTTTGTTTCATCCCGTATCCATACCGCAAGAGACCGAAACAATTGTGGCTTAACGTGTTAAAAGTAAATCCGAGAGGAAATATTTCTGGAGAATATGAAAACAAAGAACCTGCGCTTTTGCAAGAAATTAATGATGATGCTGTCATGCTAACTACAATTGAAGATCTCGTGGTTGACAATCGAGTGCACGGGGTGAATCCGATAAATCTAGATTTCGACGTTGGAGATGCAGAACCTGATGATGAATTTCATTGTAATTTATCCTCTTCAGATGATGATGAAGAGGCTGAGGAAGAACCTTACTAGATTGTCTGAATCATTGTATTCTACTTTTCTATTTTGAATCAAACAATTTAATGAATAAGTTGTATAACTTACTATGTTAATCTTGTCTATTACTAATAAAAACATTGCGACTAAATGGTGACTAATTTTCGACTAAATGGTGACTGATTTGCGACTACATGGTATTTGCGACTAAATGGTGACTAATTTATGACTACATAGTATTTGCGACTAAATGGTGACTAATTTACGACCAAATAGGCCCAAATAATTAACCCGAGATTAGGCCCAAATCTTTTAGAAGCCCGTCTAATTAACTCGACCCAAATTCCTTACTTTGTCTTCCCCGATGACATTTTCCCCAATTACGAACCCTAATTCCCATATCTATTCTAAAACCATTCCCAAAACCTTGAATCCCTTCTCAATCGCTTTCTAAATCCCAGAATCAATCCCTTAATCCACACCGAAATCGACCTTTAAGTCTCGATTACAAACCCTTATCGAAGATGACTGGCGCCAAAAAGAAGAAATCATGAGGAGGTCTGTCTTCGTCGAAAGCACGAGGAGGTGTTTCTTCGTCGCTGCTACCCTCTCAGTACACTTTCACTCCGACGACCGAACCCCCGTCGCCACCACCGTGAGTCCCCACATACACGCATGTGAGGGATTACCCACCGCCTCAACAGCTATTCCAGAACACCGCGGCTCCACAGCAACAGCCTCACCACCGCGACTCAGTCTCACCACCGCGACTCTCTCAACGATCACAACAGTCTCTGCAGTCTCACCAGCGCGCCTCTCACCAGTCGAACCGCCGTCGCACATCCAACTCAGAACAGTCTCAACAGCCTTCGTCCTCTCCGGTATCTCAGCAACGACCATCTCCACTTTCACAAGACGGAACATCTCAGTCCTCTCAAGCTCAGGCCGGTGAAGCTCAGAGTTCCGGTGAAGAAGCTTCCCTTGAAGAATCCACTGTAAATCTCGCAGAAGACCAGCTCAGGCTCCTTAATGTGTTGCTTATGAAGCCTGGCCGGGAAGAATATACAACTGTCCTCTCTCCCGTTCCTAAGCCGAATACAACTTGGTATGATCCTTGTAATGCTTGTATGTGTTTTTGTTTTTGTCGATTATGGTAATAATGCATAATGCTTGTATGTTTGTCTGTTAATGCTTGTATGTTTGAATGTTATGTCGATGATGGTTAATGCTTGTTTCTTATTGTAGGTTTGGTCGAGATAAGTCTTCCTTGACTCGGAAGATTACCAAAATCTTCACAAATAAATTTGATGGTCATTTCTACAGTTGGACATGTGTTCCTCGGGAGAGACAAGAACGCTACTTTGTTGAATTCGCGGTGAAGTTCTCTCATTCTCTTTTATATGTTTTTTTTTATGATTATATGTTTGTCTATTCATTGCTGGTTATTGCTTTAAGTGTTTCAAATATGCATGTTTGATGATGCTTTAACTTTGATGATGCTTTAAGTTTGATGATGGTTATTGATTACAGGTTATTGCTTCTTTGGTCATCGGTTATTGCTTATATATGTCATCTTCTCTCTCTCATGTTTTGTAGAAAACCCACACATGGGATCCCCTCATAACCGGTGTGGTTCAAGAACACTTTGAAGCTATCTGTCAGCGCCGCATGAAGGACATGGTGAGCACCTGCAGGACTTCTCGAGAGCAGCCAAATTGGATTGGGGATACGCTCTGGGAAGAGATGACAAAGGTTTGGGACACTGAAGATTGCAGAGAGAGGAGTGCGACCACTTCAGCGGCTAGGATGTCTGAACGTGGAGGTCTTGGTCCTCACGTGCATGTATCAGGTCCGAAGTCATATCTCCAAATCCAACAAGAAATGGTAAGTTTCTTTTACCTCTTTCATATTCAATCTGGTCATCATTTATAACTTATAACTCATTCATTGATCATTTTTTTCGTATCATGTCAGGAAGAAGAATTGGGAAGACCAGTGAGTCTTGGTGAGGTTTTTATCAAGACTCACACCAGAGCAGATGGGACTTATGTCGATCGAAAAGCTCAGAAAGTTGCTGAAGCTTATAAGAAGAACTTGGAAGCCAAGTTTGCTGAACTCTGGGAAGAAAACTTAGGTGCATCTGATGGCACAACTGATGCTACTCATCCGGAGCTATCCATAGAGGAAGACAACGAGCTGTTTCTTAAGGTAAGATTGTCTTTTTTATTGCTTTTTGTGTTTCAAATATGCTTTTTGTGTCTTTGGTATATTCAGTGACTCTTATTTTTTGTTTTTTCTAGTCCACATTCACGAATGAAAGAGGAGTTCATTATGGTGTTGGAAGCCTCTCACAGTCACGCAAGCGGAAGAACCTTGGAAGCACTTCAACATTCAACACCGTACAAGAACAATTCTCTCCAGCTCAGCGCCTAATTGAAGAACAAGCAGCTGAGAACGCAAGATGTGAAGCAGAGCTCACCAAGGTTTCAGCTGCCCAACAAGCCAAGATCGACCAACTCACATTGCTGGAGAGGTATTTGAGAGAAACTTATCCAAGATTCTTGGATTTCATGGCTGCTAATTCTGCTCCCACGTCTTCTGCTACAACCGCTGCTCCAGTCACTGATCCCACGGCTGCTGCAACCGGTGGTGCTCTAAACACTACTCCAACAGGTGCTGCAACCGCTGCTGGTCCAACCAATCAACCAAACGATCCTCATCAAGGTTCTCTTTCAACCTCATTTTGAATATCTTAGTTTTGTTTTAGTGCAACCAGAAACTTTCATCTAACGGTAGTCTACTTATCTACAATGGTAACCTCATTTTGAATATGTCCTATATGGTAACCATTGTAGTTCATTTTTTTGTTAACAACAATGTAATCACCTTAATGATGTAATTCATTAGTTGTTTACTTATGCTTTTACATTTTAATGATGGGAATGGTTATTTCTGAATTTTTTGTTCACTGCATTATTAGTTTTTGAACAACATTTGAATTGGATTCATAAAACAAATTCAATACCAATTTCATATTTGCCTGCAATAAATAGTCGCAAAACAGTCGGAAATATGTCGCAAATCAGTCGCAATACAGTCGTAGACTAATCGCTAAACTATAGCAATCAGTCGCCAAATAGTCGCTAATTATTACGATTGCATTGCGACTAATTTATTAACAATATTACGACTCCCGCACAGTCGTAATTAGATCGTAATGTAGTCGTTATTCAGTCGCGTACTTTTACGACTGAATTACGACTATATTAATAACAATATCACGACTCCGACACAGTCGTACTTAGGTCGTAATGTAGTCGTTATTCAGTCGCATACTTTTACGACTGATTTGCGACCGTGTCACGACGTCGAGTTTTAGTCGCAAGATAGTCGTAAATATACGACTGATTACCGACTAAGATATTTAGCGACTAAATATTACCGACTACATTGATTAGTCGTAATGTAGTCGGCAATACCAATAAAACGACTGATTTACGACTTTTCTTGCTGTCGCATTTTCCGTGTAATCGTGTAGTGATTGGAATGTTTTTGTTTGATTCTCTTCACTAACCCTTTGACATTGAGCATCGGTTGATTGTTGTCTTTAGCCAATGTTCTTTTGCTTTGTGAGTTGTTAAGTTATGTGAATTTCTTTAGAGATTTATTAAGTGAGCCGCATATGTGACTTACTTGTTCTTCTTTGTTAAGTGATTAGTTATGTGACTTGCTTTACTTAACGACTTGTTTAATGACTATCATCGCAGGCAATGCCTCATTATAGTGAAACATCATCTGAAGGTCCAGAAATGGATTTAGGATGGTATCCCGAGACAAATGTTTCTGTGGGAAACGTGTGAAGCTTGAAACTTGTCCTGGTGGTGCTATGGGAATTGCAGGCCGCACGTATTACACATGTCCTGACTAGGTCTCTGAGGTAAGTTGTAGTTACAAAGTTTTTAAATACATACATGTTTTTCGATGAGGATTTAATATTTACTCTTATGTAGGGTCGTGGTGAGCACAAGAGGCAATGGTGGGATGATTCTGTGACGGAGCAGTTCTCCATACTTGAGCTCAGGCTAGACGAGCAAAAGGAGATGCTCTTCAGCGTTGACAGGCGCCATGCTACTAATCCAACCATTGCAGAGTTGAAGGAAGATGTCCGAATGCTGCAAGAAGACGTGTCTGTGCTGCAAGAACATGTGGGACATCTTTAAGAAGATGTCACGATGCTGAAAGCCCACAATGCTAACCAAGGTGACGCATTCATGTTCCTTGTTATTTTTGTTGTATTCGCTGCCGTTTGCTATATGTTTAAGTAGGTTTTTATAAGTATGACAATAACAATTGTTCAATGAATGTTGTCTATTTAAGAGGAACAAGTTAAATTGTCTTCTTTTCACTAAGTCAGACCATGTCTTGTTGTAATGTTGAATTATGTTGAACTTTTAAGCTTAAGGTTTTTGAATGTATTCATGTTCGCTTGTTTGAGTTTGTTTTTGAATTATGTTTTTGTTTGCACTTGTTTGTGTTTAATGCTAGTTTGATTTTGGTTAGGTAGAGGAGTTAAGACTTAGTCGTTGGACTGTATTGAATGTTATATGTCCATTTTACTTATTTCAATTTTTTTTTTGAGGGTAACATGGTGGGATTATCGAGATAACAAGTGATGCCATTCTATCATCGAGTCTTTTCATCGAGGTTAGCTTCCTTTTCCCCTTTGTCTTTGCGGAACTAGATAGGCATTGAGTTGGTATAAATGCTTGTTGAGGTTGTTAGCTGAAAGTTGTTAAGTTTTAATGCCTTGAATGAAAATAGAAGTTTGCGTGTGCTTTGGGATCCATTGTAATCAATGCTAGTTAGGTTTAGGGTTAGTAAATGACACACTGCTTCATTAAACCTTCATTAAAAAACTTGTACTACATAAAAAAACTTTAACTCCTCTAAAAAACTTCAACATATAACAGACCCTACTTCTAAACCTTTCCTCTTTCTTCAACACCACCGAACCTTTGTAAACCCTAATGGATTCCGGCAACAATTACGGCCAGGCTGAAGGTTTTGTAAACCTTTTAACAAGCCAGCTCTCTAATGACGGCTTCTCGCACATCATTGACCTTGGATCATCTGAGGTCCCTGTGTTTAGTACACAGGCTTCTGAGGCTCGAAGCGTAGGAGGGAAGACACCTGCACAAAGAATCAAGTGGACACCAAAGGAGGATGTCATCCTCATCTCCGCGTGGCTGAATACAAGTAAAGATCCGGTCGTTGGTAACGACCAGAAAGCGTCTGCTTTTTGGAGCCGCATATGCTTGTACTACAACAACTCAAAGCATCTCGCCGGTCAGCCAAAAAGGGAAGTCGGCCAGTGCAAGCAACGTTGGTGTAGGATCAACGATCAAGTTTGCAAGTTCGTAGGATGCTATGAAGCAGCTACGAAAGAGAAGACCAGTGGGCAAAATGAAAATGATGTCATGAAAGGTGCCCATGACATATTTTTCATTGATCATGGCTTCAAGTTTGTCTTAGAACATGCATGGCGCGAGTTAAGACATGACCAGAAATGGTGCAGAGCTACCGCTTTAAAAGACAGTGCAAGCTCGAAAAGAAAAAAGGTGGATGATATACATGGATCGGGTCAGTCGTCTAACAATGTGGAGGCCGGAGTTGATGTACATGATGCTGCAGAGATGCGACCACCAGGAGTGAAAGCGTCTAAAGCAAAAGCCAAGAAGCAAAACGGCTGTAAAGAAGAAGGTAAGGCACTTCTCGATTTTCAGAACTTGTGGAGTATTAGGCAAAGAGATCTGGAGTTGAAGGCAGAAATTGCTAAGACTAGACAAAAAGATATGGAGATGAAGTCAAAACTTGCTAAGCACAAAACCCTGGACAATCTCCTAGCAAAACCTGAGCCACTCTCTGACATTGAAAATGCCCTGAAGAACAAGTTGATTTCTGAGTTGTTATCTTGAAGCCGGTTATGTTTTGGGAAATGTTTAAATTTGTATTGGGCACTTTTATGATGTTTGTTTTTGTTTCTCCGGTTATGTATGTTTAATGTCTAATGCTCGGTTATGTTTGTTTCAATGTCATGTTCTTGTGTTATTCGTGAATTGCAATGATTGATTTGTTATCTATGACTTTTGTCATCTTTTTCAGGCTTTTGTGGAGTGCTTTATGTGGGACAAGTAGTTTTGGGGTCTTCTGTCACGAGCTACTCTCGTTTTGGTTACTTGTGTCACGAGTGTAATGTAAATTCATGATGGGTACTTTTTAAATTATTGTAAACGATGGTATCTGAGATAATGTTTGCTGTATATATTCTGTTTACAACAAATTCTCTCTTCCAGTTTTCATTATATCTTCTGTTTTTCCCCAAGTATTTCGTGATAACTCATTTCTCCAAGTCTATCGTTTTACCCCAAATACTCTCTTCTTCAAGGTTTTTTAACTATCTTCAACTACTTTCTTCTTCAATTCTTTTGTTTCAAAAAAGAATATCTTCTACATGGCGTCTTCATCACACTATAGGTCTGATGATTCTGATGACTATGAAGATGATGAATTTGAAGATGCACTTGATGAATCTTTTAATGCAATATTTGAGCAAAAATTCGAAGAAGCATATGAAGAGATCATCGAATGTCTTGCAACCGCCAGAAGAAAAAAAAAAAGCATACATTGAACGAGAACGGGAACAAGGTCAAATCCGGTTATGGAATGACTACTTCTCGGAAGATGCAATCTATCCTCCACACATATTTCGACGGCGTTTTCGCATGAACAAGACTTTATTCATGCGGATTGTGGATTGGCTATCTGAAGAGGTTCCATATTTCCAACAAAGGCGGAACGCTACCGGTCGCTTAGGGCTGACAGCACTACAAAAATGTACAGCCACAATTCGGATGATGGCGTACGGCTGTGCAGCAGACACGGTGGACGAATACTTACGTATAGGTGAATCTACCGCAATTTTATGCTTGGAAAATTTCACTTCAAGCATAATAGAATTTTTTGGAGATCAATACCTTAGACGTCCCACACCAGAAGATCTCCAACACCTGCTCGATGTTGGAGAGTCACGTGGCTTTCCCGGCATGATTGGAAGCATCGACTGTCTGCACTGGGAATGGAAGAATTGTCCAACCGCTTGGAAAGGTCAATACACCCGGGGTGCAGGAAAACCGACAATCGTATTAGAAGCTGTGGCATCATACGATCTTTGGATATGGCACGCATTCTTTGGGCTCCCAGGTACATTAAATGATATAAACGTTCTTGATCGCTCACCTATTTTTGACGACATATTACAAGGTCGAGCTCCGAAAGTTAGGTATTCTGTGAACGGTCACAACTATAAGTTGGCTTACTATCTAACTGACGGTATCTATCCGAAATGGGCAACGTTTATCCAATCTATTAACCTTCCACAAAGTGAAAAAGAACAAAAATTTGCCAAAGTTCAAGAATCTGTCTGTAAAGATGTCGAGCGTGCTTTCAGGGTTCTTCAAGCTCGGTTTGCTATCATTAAAAATCCGGCACTCATCTGGGACAAGGAAAAAATTGGAAAGATTATGAGGGCAGCAATTGTATTACACAATATGATTGTAGAAAACGAACGAGGTAACCGCAGTTTGTACGATATATCTGGATTCCAACAACCAGACGGAAGCAGATCATCACATGTTGATATGGCGTATTCAAGAGATATGCCTACAAACATCAACAATATGATTGGCATTCGTAATGAAGTTCGTGATCAGCAATACATAAACGTTTAAAAGATGATCTAGTGGAGCACATTTGGAACACAATTCCCGCCTAATTCACATTTAAATGTGTATGTTCTATATTTTCTACTTCAATAATTATTTGAAAGATGTTTGTATTGTTTAATGTTTTCTTATTCGATAAGTTGTATGTTTAAAATTTTATTATTGAATAATTATGTAATTTAAATTAAGACAAAAAAAATTATTTTTTTATTCTTAAGAGACACAACAAAGAGAACACTAGTGGACACTACATAAACATAAAGTCTCTTGTTTTTTTCTCTCTTCCTAAAAATAATACTAAACAATTGTTAAGAGACATTAAGTGAGTATCACTAGTGGAGATGCTCTAAGGAGCGCTCCGTCCAGTTTTTCGCCGAAAAATGATTTAAAAATGCCTGAGGCATATGAAACTGTGCTGACGTTTTGCTTAAAATCTCCTGTGCTGGAGATGCTCTAACAATGGCTACTAAAGGTACGAAACTTCTTAGCTTCCTGTTCTCTCGGTAATTTGTTTACCTCCTTTTCATTTGTATGCTTAGATGGTGAAATCAAGCTTTGGTTGTATATATTAGTAGTATTAGTTCATTGTTTTTCAGGCGATTTTGTTAAGGTCTTTTCCAAAAATTGAATGAAGCTTTTGACTTCTGATTATTGGATGATCAATGGAGAATTCTTTGCTAGGTTTTGCTAAATTTTCTTTTTTTTGAATGGAGTAAGCTCACAATATAAACTGCGATGACGCTTTGCTCTATAATGTAGCTTCATAATCTTCATTTGTAGCTTTTAACAGAAAGGAACATCTGCTTTTGTAGAAAAAGCTATGTCTATGATTTCTTAACTTATCTATATATTTGAAAATGGAAGGAATGTTCTTGGTTAGGATTGGATCTGTTCTGGTTTTTCAACATTGTGTTCTGCCTTTTTTGTATTGTTTTTCAAGACACAACAAAGAGAACATTAGTGGACACTATATAAACATAAAGTTTTTTGTTTTTTTTTTCTCTCTCTAAAAATAATACTAAATAATTGCTAAAAGACACTAAGTGAGATGCTATTAGATTTTTGGGATAAAGGTGAAAGAGAAGACGACAATTATAATATGTTCTAAAATCTAAATTCTAAAGGCCCACAATTTGGAATGATTAATTATCCTTTTATTTTTAAATAGATTTGTTTTGACTTCGGTTCGGTTTTGTAATTGTACAGCGTGAATGGTTTGGTTAGTTCAGGTAGGTTTTGTTCTTCAGCGAGGGAGAGAGCAGGAATCGGATCGTTAATGGAGAAATGGCTGAATCTGAATCAGTAAACGAAGCCAAGGAGAAGAAGCTATGGAAAGCTGTTTTCGCCGTCTCCGGAATTATGATTACCCTCGTTATCTATGGTCTTCTCCAGGTCTCTTACTCTTTCACTTTCCTCTGGATTCGCTTCTTTTGTTCAATTTGATTGAAGAATCTTGGTGAGGTTTCTTTGTTCTTAGCTCGTAAGGCCTCTCTTATGGAATTGAAAAACAAAACTACAGTGTAAAGTTTGGTTTTTTCACTCCTGCTATATTTACTTACAAGTGCAAGATGTTGTTTTTGTTTTTCTATACATATGGTTGTTCTTGATGTTAGATATACTAGCAAAAGATTTGATCTTGATGTTGTTGTTCGATATGTGGTTGATTCTTTGTGCTTGTAATTTGCAGGAGAAGATTATGAGAGTGCCATATGGGTTGAACAAGGAGTACTTCAAGTACTCTTTGTTTTTAGTTTTCTGTAATCGGCTCACTACATCAGCTGTTTCTGCTGGTGCTTTACTGGTAACTATCAAACTTTAGTTTGTATTCATATTCGGAAGAGAAGCCTGATTATAAATCTCCCTTCTTTTTGTGTTCGGTAGGCAAGCAAGAAGGTTTTGGATCCTGTTGCTCCAGTTTACAAATATTGTCTCATATCAGTAACTAACATCCTAACAACAACATGCCAGTATGAGGTATGACAAGTTCTTCACCTCCATGAACTAAGCCCAGTCCTCTAAGTGTTTTTTTGACAATGTGTTATGAATGCCTCTAGGCCCTCAAGTATGTGAGTTTCCCAGTCCAAACTCTGGCAAAATGTGCCAAAATGATACCTGTAATGGTAAGTTATAATATCTCTTTCTTCTGTTGCATGTGAGTTTATCACCACTCTCTAATTTTCTGTGTTTCTTTTTTTTTTGCAGGTTTGGGGAACTCTCATCATGCAGAAAAGGTACAGAGGATTTGACTATTTGGTGGCTTTCCTCGTCACACTTGGATGCTCTGTCTTTATTCTCTTCCCGGTAAATATTCCTATCTTACTTAAAGGATCCCCATTAGTTTATAGTTTGCTTATCACTCTGAACCATTAAGATCAGCTATGTACTTGAAATGTAGGCAGGAGATGATATTAGTCCGTCCAACAAGGGAAGAGAAAACACAGTCTGGGGTGTTTCACTTATGGTTGGTTATCTTGGGTATATATCTGTTTTGTATACTGTTATTATCTGGTTATAAAACAGGAACCTCGAAAGTTTATTTTTTTGTGTACCGATAATTACGTATTGGTAAACTGGCTTTCAGGTTTGATGGCTTTACGAGCACATTCCAAGACAAACTGTTTAAAGGCTATAATATGGAGATACATAACCAGATATTCTACACTACACTTTGTTCCTTTATTCTCAGTTTCACTGGTGAGAATCTTCTCTTTGCAGTTAACCTTTGTCTTTTTTCACTATCATTTTTTTTGAAGTCTAGACTATTTAGTACCTTTTGTGATGTTTTTTTTTCTATGATTGATTGATCACTTGGGTAAACTTCTCCACTTTCTTCCCATTTCTCAAGTTTCTGAGTCATACATAGACTTCTGATCTAAGCTTGACTGAGATTATATGTCAGTAACTCTGAACCGTGAATGTAGTAGGAACTTCTCTTAGTCCATCAATGATTTGCGATTCAAACTCATCTGCCTTGCCTAAACCTCAATTTGTAGACCTCAAAAATGCTCAAACTCATGTCGCCCTTGCTCTTTGCTAATCAATCGGGAATCTCGTGCTCAATATAGGCCTTATATTGCAAGGGCATTTACTCCTAGCAGTGGACTTTGTATCTCGGCATAGGGATTGTCTATTCGACATCGCTTTGCTTTCCACTGTAAGTCATCACTAATCTTCTGCTTAGCCATTACAATAATCATGTTCAGGAATATATTCAAATTAGAGGATGATTGAAGTGGTCACAGCTTCTGTAGTTAGAGATAAGGTAGAGTTTAGTTTGTAATTAAGACATAAAACCCGTTCACGCAACAGCTAAAACGTAGTTTGTGAACTTATCAGAGACGTCACTGTGTTTTGCAGGTAGCAACAGCCAGCCAATTTTTCATTTCTTACACCATTAGGACATTTGGAGCACTAACATTTGCTGCAATAATGACTACAAGACAGGTAAAGTTACTCTGATTCTTTCAACTCTCTGATTCCTCTTACAAACTAAGCACACAATCTATTCTAATCTAAATCCTTCTTTGTTTACTGAAAAAATAAAAGCTTTTGAGCATCATGCTCTCCTGCATTTGGTTCTCACACCCGCTTAGCTGGGAGCAGTGCATTGGATCCGTAAGCTCCTCCAAGCCTCTCTTTACTTCATCTTCTGTCTCTTATATCAGATCTCTCCCTGTTTCAAAGCTAAACCACATTTATCACTCGTGCAGGTTATTGTTTTCGGGTCCCTATATGCCAAAAACTTAGTGAAGAAGAGATCAGAAAAGCCGCAAGCAGCTCAAGAACTTCCACGGGACGAAGAGGCTGAGCCTCTTAAGGGAAACCCTTAAAGCAAGCACAAAGAGAGATTTTTGTTTTCCTCTGTTGCTTTAACAGTGACCAACCAACACTAATGATCCCTAGATGTACGATGAATATTATTAGAGCTTAAATGTATGAAACTTGAGTTTCTTGCTTGTGTGTTTCAACAGAGCCAAGAAAACGGCAGGAGAGGCGTTTAGTCAATGAACATGAGAAGCCTAAAAATGGCAAGATGTTTAATTTGGAGACCAAATGAAATGATGCGCTCCAATCCTATTGGTTAAAGGCTTTTATTTTATTAAAAAAAGAAGCTCCAACACGCGCCAAAATGTGTCAATCAAACCATAGAGATTAGAGACGACTCAAAAACAAAGATCTCTTTTAAAATGAAATTAATTCAAAGACTTGGTATAATATTAGATAAATAAGAGTTTTCTTTAAAAAAGATACTAAGACCGTGTGAAAGAATTTGTTTTGTCATTTGATTTGTAATGGAAGAAAGCACAATCAAAGTAGAAGAGATGAAAGGGAAGAGATCACTTGGATGGCAATGGCCTTTGGCAGCTTTGGTTGTCGTGTTCTTGGCAGTTGCTGCGACCTCTAGGATCGGTTTCTTCTATAACGGCCTCAATTCATTCAGATTTTCATATAAGGTTTAACTTACTTTCTTTTGGCTTCAATTTTCGATAACTTTTGTGATGATCCATCTATTTTTTGCGGGGTTGACTTGTTCAGTCTTGGAGGCATTCTGGTTAGTTTCTTAAATTTTTGTTTGAGTTTTTAATCATTGGTGAGAGAATATAACCAAAATTCCAAAGTTGAAATCGGATGAACTTTGTTGGATAATCGTGGAAATATCATTTGTTAATTGTTTAAAAAACGTTGATCCTGATTATTTGTGATGTCTGATGGATTCTTGATCAGGTATAATGATAATTGTATCTTTTGGCAATATTGTTGTTTTCTGAAATGTGCCAAAGATTTATATGCAAAATGTGATTATTAGTGATTTTTTTTTTTGTGGCATCTATCAATGTACTCATATTGATCAGATCAGTATTTGAATCTCTTTTTTTTTTTTTTTTCTCTTTCTGGTTTTCCATTTAGGCACAGGACTCTGGTAAACACGAAGGTAGGTTAACGACCCCATAACTTGATATAATTGAGAATTCAAAAATTATCTAAAAAATATAAAGACAAAAAAAGAACATACATTATGAGGAACCAATCCATGGTGGTGTAATGCTTACAAAAAGTATTTTGGAGGTTTGAAACCAGGGTAATCCTCCATCATATATGAGAATGTCTTAATTGGCAAAAAAAAGTGCGCCACATGCACAGGCTCAAGAAATTTGTTTGGACTTTGATTTGCAATCCATGGTTATAAAAAGAAAATATATGAAGAATTCAAAAACTGGTTCTACTATGATTAATTTATTAGGCTATATATGTTTCTTCTCCTACTAAAGTGTCCCAGAAACACGACAATCTCAAGCTACCAGTACCGATGCGGCTATGGCGAGAGAGTCCTCCAACATCTTATACCGTCAAGTTCGAGTCTTTCAAGACCATGATGGAGCTGGTCAAGGATGGATACTACGAGTCTCGTCCTTTCACCGTTGGTGGATTCAACTGGTAAGTCATTCTCATCAAGTTCAAGATCATCACAAAATTACTTTGGTAGCTTTTATTTTTTATGACCCATTTTTGCTTAAATTAATAAATGTTAATGAAAGGACGTTCATAATCTACCCAACGGGGAATAAGAAGGACACCTTGAACGAATTTGTTTCGCTTTATGCAAGAATCGATAACTCAAGCATCACCGATCCACAAGCCGTGTATGCGGAGATTAAGTTCTTCGTCTACAACAATGTACTTAAATTGTATTATTACTACCAAGGTAGGTACGAAATCTTAGAGGATATATATATATATATATAACTTCCAATTTATATATATATATATATATATATATATATAACTTCCAATTTCTTGTTGTTAATCATAAAATATAAATTGTAAATAATTTAACAGGGTATTAATATTAATATAGATTCTAATCATATATGAGTTATAATTAGGCAGATAATCAGTTTTAAAATCTAAATATATATATATTTTTTCCGCATATTATACGGGACCTCATCTAGTATGCTATATATATATTGTGGTCAGTAGGTCAAAGTAATTTCTTAAAAGAAACCAATGTTGTATTAATGTCGTCGTTACTTAAATTTCAACTTGCATAATCTAGTAATGTTATGTTAGTCTAGTGGTCATTACATTATTAATAATAATGATAATGGTCTAGAATAGAGCATGAAAAAACCGTCAGAAAGAAATGACAGTGTTTTCTTGTAATGTGGTTCTCGGTCTGCATCCACATGGTCTTTCAAAAGTGTTTTGTTTTTGTAGAAACTGAACCGATGAGGTTTCATTCGTTCCAACCAAAGAGGAGAGTGCCAGAGTTTCTACTGACTTCATGGTTCAAGGTGCCAGATCTTGGATACATTACCAAAGGTGGTGAATGTGTGTTTGGAATAGATGTCTTCATTGCTCCACCCTTTAACAAATGGGACGTTTTCTCCTATGATGAAAATATCACCAATCCCATTTTCAATTGGAACCTTACCGGTTTCTCTACCCTCAATCTGGACTCTTACACATCCGAAACATTTTCTTCCGGAGGCAGAAACTGGTGACTTTCTTGCTGTCTATTTCTACAAACACACACGCACGTACACTCTGGTATATATTTATGTGTTAATATCTATGATATGGTTTAATAATTAGGGTGTTGAAAGTATATCCAAATGGAAATGGTGTTGGAATGGGTAATTCTTTGTCACTCTACTTGATGAGTGAGTCTAATGAAAAGGATTACGTTCGAGCTAAGCTAAGAGTTCTGAACCAAATCACATCCAACCATGTGGAGAAACTAGGTCAGTGGTTCACTTTAAATATAAGGATTCATGCATGTCCACAAATGATATCCAAAGTATGCATAGTTGCATTTAATGAAGATATGGAATCGATAATCTTATTGATAGTGTGTGAGCTTAATATATACAGAGAGACATAATACAGAGAAATGAAATACAATATATGAGAATTACTATAGCATAATTACAGGGAGAGAATTATGTACTTTCCTATATCTTATCACACCCCCTCAAGATGGACGGTCGTATGATAGTCCGATCTTGACGCAGAGATTGTCGAATTGAGCACGGGGTAGTGGCTTTGTGAAGGCATCTGCAAGTTGATCCGCAGATGTGACATGATAGACTCGCAGTTGACCACTTTGAACAAATTGACATACGAAGTGATAATCCAACGCTATGTGCTTCATCTTGGAGTGAAAGACTGGGTTGGCTGCTAAGTAAGTTGCGCCGATGTTGTCACAGTATATCACCGGAGTTGACGGTGTTTGAATGCCGAGCTCAGAGAGCAGTGATGTGATCCAACAGATTTCTGATGTGGTATTGGCGATGGACCGGTACTCTGCTTCGGTAGAAGATCGTGCAACTCCGGTTTGTTTCTTTGAAGACCATGCAATGGGATGTCTACCTAGATAGACAATGTATGCGCCAGTAGAGGTGAAGTCGTCTTTGTTGCTGGTCCAGTCCGCATCCGTGAAAGCATGTAATATTGGCTGATTGTTGGAGTGGAGAAAGATGCCACGATTAATGGTACCAACAAGATAACGTAAGACACGTTTCATAGCTGTCCAATGTTCCGTCGTCGGTCGGTGCATGAATTGGGACAACTTGTTGACGGAAAATGAAATGTCTGGCCTGGTAAGTGATAAATATGAGAGGGATTCGATAAACCGGGTTATATGAGTGGAGCTGTTGCCGGTGATGATAATGTCATCGACGTAAACCAACATGTAAAGGAGGATCCCATTGTTGTTGTAGATGAACAAGGAGGCATCTGCTAAAGAGTTTTTAAACTCTGATTGAACTAAGAACGTCCTGAGTTCATTGTACCAAGCTCGCAGTGCTTGTTTAAGACCATAGATTGCTTTGCAAAGCTTGCAAACTGCGTGGGGGTTGTCTTTGTCAACGAATCCAGTGGGCTGAGCCATGTATACTTCATCCTCTAGACAATCTTGTAGGAATGCTGTGTTGACATCTAGTTGTCACAGAGGCCAATTGCGTGAAACAGCAGTGTTGAGAACAATGCGGATGGTGGCAGATTTAACTACTGGGCTGAATGTTTCATGGTAATCAATGCCAGGGCGTTGGTTGTATCTTTTAGCGACGAGACGTGCCTTATATCTTTCGATGGAGCCATCTGGTTTGCGTTTGATGGTGAAGATCCACCTGCAACCAACAACATTAGAAACGTTAGCCGGGTTCACGAGATCCCACGTATGTTCTCTCACATGAGAGTTTATCTCAACACTCATAGCTTGACGCCAATGAGGGCTTTTAAGTGCCTCCGCCACTGATGTTGGTATCCTTTCTGTTGCAGGTGTGATCGTCGCATGAAGGTTGAGCCTTTGAACTGGTTTACGAGTTCTTGTGCTTGCTCGCGTAGGAAGCGGTGGTTGAGGAGCTGGCACAAGAACAGGGGCTGGTGCCGGTGGAGGTGAATGATGAGCATTTGGAGTTGGAGGAGCAGTAGTTGATGTTGAAGTCAACGTGTCTATGGCAGTGACGGTTGGTGGTATTTGAGGTGAAATTGGTGCCGGTGGATCAACTGGTAGTGGTGCAGTAGTTTGAACCGGTACGGCTGGTCGGATGATGGAGACAGGCGGATACGTAGGTGGACCTGAATCACTGTGTTCAAGCTGCTCAATTTGACAAGTGTTAGAAGCAAAAGAAAATATTGATTCATGGAACACAACATGGCGAGAAGTATAAATTCTTGATGCTTTTCGATCAAGACAGAAATATGCACTTTGACTTGGTGAATAACCAAGAAAAACACACGGACTGGATCTATCATCTAATTTATGTGTTGTATAAGGACGTAACCATGGAAAACACAAGCAACCAAAAACTCGTAATTTATGAAAATTTGGTGAATGCCCATGCAATTTTTGAAATGGAGTGGAAAAAGATAGCACAGGTGTGGGCATTCGATTTATTAAATATACGGCAGTCGCAAATGCATAAGTCCAATACTTAGGCATAGATGCATGGGACATAAGAGCAAGACCCGTTTCGACAATATGACGACGTCGACGCTCAGAAATGCCATTGTGTTCTGGTGTATGGGGGAACTTGTCATATGAGAAATACCTTGACTACAGAGAAAACTTGTAAGTCCAATATATTCACCCCCATTATCCGTATAAAGAGTTCAAAGTTTGGCTTGAAATTGATTTTCAACCAATACTTTGAATCTTGTAAAAACTTCTAAAACTTGTGATTTTCTTTTTAATGGGTATAACCAAATATAACGAGTAAAATGATCTACAAAAATTACATAATACTTAAAGCCATCTACTGAAATAAGTGGAGATGTCCACACATCAGAAAATACAATATGCAAAGGATGAAAAGATTTTAACGATGAATCTTTGAAAGGTAACTTATGAGTTTTATTAATTGAACAGAACTGCATGGCTGAGCCATTAAAACATTTGAAGAAAGCGGTAAATCAAAAGTTGAAACTACTTTTTGAAGAATAGGTAAAGCAGGATGGCCTAAACGAGAATGCCAATCCGATAAACTAGTTTTCACCACAGAACCAAAAGCAAGAGATGGTTTAGAAGCTAGAGTTTTCGGCCACTCATAGGTGCCGTCTTTAGGCTTGCCTTCCAGACGAAGAGCCTCCGTTTGTAAATCCCTCACCTGGAAGTAGGTTGGTGTAAAAGTCACAGCAACACCATTAGTTTTGCAGAGTTGAAAAACAGAGATTAAAATTTTGTCAAGAGATGGAACACAAAGAACATTATTAAGAAAAAAAAGGACGAGTATAAGAAGGAAGAAAGGAAGAACCAGTGTGGGAAATAGTGAGTCCTGAGCCATCTCCAAGAAGAACAGCATCGCCTCCATTATATGGAGTATGGAGAGAGAGGTTCGCAAGGTCTGATGTCATATGATGAGAGGCGCCACTGTCGACCAACCAAGTAGACGAATCAGATAGTAACGCAAGATTAGCATGTGGTTGCCATGTTTGCTGTTGGTGAGGTGGTCTCCAAGGTGTTTGGGATTGAGGTGGAGCAGACCATTGTTGTTGTGGAGTGCTGGAACCTCTGACGATGCAAAAATCGAGGCAATATTTTGCACTGTGTCCTTGGATACCGCAAGCTTGGCATCGTCCCAAATACGGCTTGGAGAAACGGTTAGGTCCTCGATTCTGGTTGGTGTTGTGAGTCTGATTGCGATTCTGATTCTGCCGGGGACGTGTGTCTGTTGCATTTGCAACGATTGGTGCGACGGAGGAAGGCTCGAAACAAAGGATCATTGCTTCGCGATTTAACAGTCGCTCATGAAGTTCGGTAAAAGAAATGGGGGTATCTCGACCATTGATGGCATCGATCTCAGCTTTGTAGTCGTCACTCAGACCAGCGAGAATATCTTCTGTTAAGTCCTCTTGATCCATTGGATTACCCAGAAGAGCCAGATCATCGGCTTTGGATTTGATGAAACGCAGGTACTCTGTAATTGTCTTGGTACCTTTGACGCAGTGTTTGATCTGAAAGCGTAATTGACGGGTGTGACCACGAGATGAATTACCAAAAGTTTTTGCAAGCATTGTCCAGACTTCTTTGGTTATGTTGGCGCTGGAGATGACTGGTTGGATCGGTTGAGAGATGGCACCGATGATGGAGCTATAGAGAAGACGATCTTGTCGTCGCCAAGGAGTGTATGCGGGATTCGGCGTCGAGACGCCATTCACGACAACGGTAGGTGAAGGAACAGTATCAGAATCCTCGATGAAGTGTTGGAGTTCATGGCCTTCAAGGAGTGCACGAACCTGTCTGCTCCACATGATGTAGTTGACATCGGTGAGTTTGGTGACACTGGACATGTTCACCGATAAGAGAGTGTTTTGTGGGTTTTCAGTATTAAAAACTGCAGTTGGTTCTGCTGTGGGATCCGTCATGATGAGAGAGAATAAGAAGAAACAGAGATTAGAGGAGGAGAAGGAGAAGAAGAAGAAGAAGGAGAAGGAGAAGGAGAAGGAGAAAGGAGAGTGGCGGCTAGAAAAAAAATAGGTTAAACCTATTGCTGCTCTGATACCATAATGAAGATATGGAATCGATAATCTTATTGATAGTGTGTGAGCTTAATATATACAGAGAGATATAATACAGAGAAAAGAAATACAATATATGAGAGTTATTATAGCATAATTACAGGGAGAGAATTATGTACTTTCATATATCTTATCAGCATTTTGGATCCAGTAGAATCGGATTCGAATACTCTAAAATCTTAGGATATTTAATCTGTGTTTTTTTAAAAAAATTTGTAATCATCCTAATTAGTTAATGTTTTTATTTATTTATTTGTTTGCTTTTTTTTTAATGGTAAGTTGAGGGATGGCCAGCAGAAAATGGATGGGGTTTCGAGAAGTTTATACCTCTTTCAGATCTTAAAGATGGAAACAAAGGTTTTGTTGTCGAAGATTTACTCGAGGTTGAAATCGAGATCATGGCATTCTCTAAAACTGATCCATCTAATTAAGGTTTATGATGAGCCAGAAAACAACCTACTTTTCTTGCGTTTGTTTTACAATAATGTCACTTGTGAGAGATCTCTTGGAAAAACTTGAGACATTTTATTATCAGTTTTGAGCCAAAGCCATGCAAGATCAAACTTTTTTATGTCCAAAATAATAAAGGTTTCTGATTATTTTCTCACAAGGCTAGCTACAACCTACTCGTTTGTGTATAATTTATATGTAATAATAAAGAACTTCCAAATCTTTTCCCAGATTATATGGTATCCTCCTGGTTTCTCATATAATAGCTTATAAGACAATTGAAGTTGCAACCAATGCGACTTTAATTTGAGTTGTGCTTTTCTGTTATACTTGGAATAGACAACTCCTCTATGTCATTTAGTAATACGATTATTGTTTTATCATATGTAGTTTTAAAAAATAATAATATAATAATGTGTATGTTCTCTTTAGATCAAATGTGTATATATCTATTATCTATTATCTATCTTTGTATATTCATATATATGTTCTTTTTAATCTTTGACCCACTCCCCTCCTCGCCACAGTATCTCATCAACTTCATATATTCTAACTAAACATATGTCCCACTCCCACCATCTACATGTATTAACACATCTTCCTTCCTAATATATCCATAAACCCATATTATATATATATATATATATATATGACTCGTGCATCATAATAGTATACGTACCCATTCATCAAATTCAAATCAAAATAGTTAATAACTCTCAAATCTATCACATAGATGTGTGATATGTCTTCTTTCAAAATAATCTTTCAACTACTCTCACTTCTTTTCTTAACTCTATTCATAACTTCCGTTTGTTCCGGCCGTTACGTTGATGTCAATGACTTTGACCCTGTCCCGTCATCAGCCACTACGCCATTGGAAACCGACTCCGGTGGAGCCGTGGCGAATACTGCCATCAGGGGGTTTCAGATTCCGTTAGCTCATTGTAATGGCGCTAGTCTTCCGTTAGGTAACGGCGTCTATTAGTAAGATTCACAACGTCTCTCTCTTCACCAGATCACTCGCAAAACTATCCAAGATTCTCAAATGATATGTTCAAGCGGATCTTTTTCTCGATTAATATTTTTGGCTTACAATCTTTGTTATTTTTTCCGTTGATGTAGTCGTCATCTAACGATCTTGTTACTTAATGAATCATGGAACGTATCTATAAATATTGTATAATAGGATAATATCCGTACTGTGCACGGGATGATTGTTATCATTTTATACAGAAATCATGAAGTACTATAATGTATGTATAGAAGATGGTGAATAATATTTGATTTAATTGACTATTTTGTATTATTTGAAACGGATTTTATTTTAAGTGTTTGTTTATGTTAGTAACATAATAAAATTAGATTAGTGGACTTTATATATGTGACTAAATGTTTATTGATTTGTTTTGAAATTCTTTTTGTTTTTAATAGTTTTCCTTTACTTAAAACACAAAAATGAATGAAATTAACCGATTACTAATATTATTTCATAAATATCTATATGATGCTAAGTATAAGAAACAATTAGCAAAAAATTGAAGTGTATTATTTAAAGCAACACAAAATTATTATGTTCGACTATTAATGTTAATATTAGAGCTTGATATATTATTTATGTAATACAACAAATACAAAGAGTAATAAAATAGACACATGTGTGTGTAATTACTAAATAGGCTTCATGTGAATACAGAGTTATCTATCCAATTTTTAAAGGAATAACATATAAAACAGAGGCAAACCTCGATAACATCAAAGATCTATTCGATGTGATAGAGAATAATGGTCTTCTTGAAATTTTAGCTTTCTCTTTCAATTATGGAAATCATTGTTATGTTTGCAGAAGTTATCAGAGGTAAAGATATGATACTCGATAATATATTCAGATGTTTTATTATAGTGTTTCTACTGTTGAAGCTGTATTAATTCAATTCAGAATTTATTTGGTTTTAACATAGTTTTTAGTTGAATCTACTTAAACTTAATTGACCAATCTTTTTTTTTAGTATCTTACAGGTGATTCATATATTGTACATATATCTAATGTCGATTATAATCTAAGATAACGTTATTCGAAAGCAAAATCAGCTATGTTTATCGAATATACTAAACATATCGGAAGATAAAAATTCAGGTTCTATTCTATAACCTAATTTCCCTGGTTTTTAGTTAACTAAGTTTTTTTTAAAACATTTAGATAAACAAATATAGTTTTCTATTATCTAAACTACCAAAAATTCGAAAATAAAAATAGATTCTTCATAAGTAGAAATTAAGCAGCAAATATCCAAAAAAGTTCCACAAAACACACGATAAGTTATAGTTAAGTTTTAACGGAAATAGAAAAGTTGAACATCACAATATAGACTTAAAATTTAAAAATACTTAAAACGCAACAGATGTTGATACATCTCTAGTCGACGTTAGTTGCGCAAGTTCCTGGAGTTGCAGACGAATCTATCATTTTTTTTGTAATCCTGCAAAATATAAATGACGACTCATTTCATCATATATATATATATATATAGTTTGAGTTTTTCTAAGGTAAAAGGACGGATAATTTTAATGCTTACTTGTTCCTGAACTTCGAAACTTGATCAATCGGTGGAGCAAGTAGAAAGCGAGAGAAGCCATGTTTTCATGTTCATGGATAGTCAGTTTATCTACACATAATAGAAATCCAATGAGAAATTGCATGTTTCTCCAAATTAAATGATCTAGTACAACTATATGCATACCGATATTCTTCTTAACTGTCCAGTCAGTTAAAACACAAATAGTGAAGGGCCCTGTGAATCCTTTACATCTTTCTTTGATGTCCACAGCAAAGTCACCATATGCAAAGCATTTGAAGGAATAATCTCTAAGTTGATTATAAACGAAGGGTCAGGAAAAAAACACTAACAAAATTAAAAATAAACTTAAAACTATTATCATACTCTACATCCTTAAGGGTGAATTCAAAAACTCTCTTTGTTTCTCCATCTGGAAAACACTAGGTGTAGACCTCGCCAATAGTTTCAAGACTTCCCATCAAATCTAATTTCAAAGATTTTAGATACTTAAACCAAAATCTTAAAGCATAATAGGTTTTGTATATGTACGCAAACTTAATAAGGTAAACAGATTAGGAAATATAAATATAAATTAAGAAATCGTTGCTAACTGATTAGTAAGTAGGATATATTAAATATTAAGAAATGAGAAGTAGTAGGCATCTTAATAGGATAGTTACAATATTCTGAAGATTTATTAAGATTACTAATAAATGGTGAATTTATCTAAACATTGAAATTTTCATAATTAAGTTAAGTTGATTTGGTTATAGTTGGTTGTGTAATATTCATCAATGAGCAACTATATACGACATAATAGGGTAGTTATGATTGTTTTTCTAATATTGTATAATGTAATTATATTATTATATTTAAATACAGAGTTGTTTTAGGATACAACTTTAATCGTTAGTGTCACAAAATATCCGTATTGCCAAAGTAATAATGGCTCCATACATTTTGCATGAATATTGTAAATGTTTAATTGCCATGCAGAATTTCTTTTGAGACACTAACGACATATAATCTTAATGAGAGACATCTAATAACAATATAGCATACCTGTTCAACGGGAGTTATAAACCCCATTTCTTCAGACTTGACATCAGGAGTAGTCTATAAATAAAGAAATAAGTTAACAATTATCAAACGGCAATGAAATGGTTGTAGTAATATAAATAAATAGTTTAGGGATTAAACCAAAAATACGGATATTTCAGAGAATTCTTTGACCATGTTACTTTGGGTCACAATCTTTGTAACTTTGCAGACATCACTGTTGAAAACGATGTTTGAACTCTCAATAGATAGCTTGAACATATAAGTTTTCCACATATGTTACTAATTGGAAGAGATAGCACGTCTGGATCTTGGATCTGCACGAAGATTAGCAAACATTTAAAAATTAAAATATATATAGTAAGATTGACTATAATAGAGTTGATAGTAAATTGAATAAGTACCTCTTCCACAGATTCAATCAATTGTGTAGCTGTTTCATTTACAACTTCCATGGCAAGCTTATCAAAGATTCAGAGCTTTGTTTCCTTAGTGTTGTTCATAACACGGAAAGTCAGCATAAACCTAAGTTATCGTAGGAGAATATATGAATATTAATATATTTTGTAAATAATTAAAATCTTTGTTTATAACTAAAAATTTTGTACAAACTTACGGTGGTACGACACTTTCAACATCATCCTTACATTTGCCACATTTCCATAACTGTTTAGGAAATGGCTTCTCAGGATATTGCTCCTTCAACAAATCCATATCAAGAGAAAGCACTTTTTTATAGCACACTTTGCATGACATATAGTACCATCCAAACTCAATGTTGATCGACATGATGGTAGGCATAGTCACACATTTCTCAACTTAATCATTTAAAAATGGCTAAACTTTTGAAAATTTATGTGAATATGTTGTTTAACAAATATGTGTCTTAGAATGAAATAAATAGCTCAGAAGCATCAAGTATTTCACTTATTGTCCGGCGAGGGGTATGTAAAAAGAAATCATCTCTTACAGAAACAGAATTGACAATGGTCAATTAATTAGGGTGTGTGTATGACAAAGTCACATCATCCTTTGGTAAGCTGGAAAGGAAATTAAATTGATTAAACTTAGTGATATGAAAGTAAATTAAAATGCAAAGTGTTAAATTTTTTGTTTTTATAAATATACCGGTCTCTAAAAGCATTTATTTCAGGATCTGTCATCACAATTGAAGAACTGTAACAATTTCCAATGCTCCAAACACCTAAATAATGAAATGGCTTGAAAGTTATGTATAGTTATAAAAAACGATATTTTGCTTGTATACATAACAATTTTTTCCTTACCTTGATACAATCTTAGCTTTCCAAATCGTAACACGAAGCAAGTGATAGCATTGGTTGCATATGTAGCAACACTCTCCAAAC